GTGAGGGGGTAGCGGCGGGCAGGCAGCCAGGGTTAAATCTGCCTTTGTCTGGAGGTCAATGGGGGGTGGGGTCTCTCTGGCTCAAGGCAGTCCCAGCGGCTTGAGGGGTCGTTTCATTTCCCCTCAGGGGATGCTTTGCCCTCAGGGTCTTCCTCCTGAGCCAGGAGATGAGGCGGAAGGAACCTAGCTGGAAAGTCTGGGGCCACAACCGAGGCGGCCAAAGTCGTCTTTCTTGCCTTTGGATTTTGTCAGCGTGAGAGGCAGAGTATGTCTGGGACCCGAGCAGCCAGGTGTCCTTGTACCCTCGGGTCCTGGTTACGACATAATTTCCACAGTCAGTGGAATAAAGACATCCTTCGGCTGACATAGTTAAGATCTGTGTGTGGCGGTGTGTGTGTGAAAGGTGAGAACACTTAAGATGGCCTCTTCTAGAAAATCTGAAGTGTACAATACACTCCTACTAACTTCAGTCAGCACGCTGTACGTTCAACATTCAGTGTTTCTGCATCCTGCATAGTGAGCTTTTTCAGCTTTTGACCAACATCTGAGCATTCTCCCCCACCTCAGCCCCTGGGAACAAATATGCTAATCTTTCATAATTTTGCCTTTTTTTAAAGATTCTGCATCTCTGATTTCATACAGTGTCTTTTCAGCGTGTGGGTTATTGAACTTAACAAAATGTTCTCTAGGATGATTCTGTTGCTGCAGATGGAAGGATTTCCTTCTTTTTGGAGGCCGATAGATGTACTGAGAATAAATTAGATGAGGTACCTCTCCCAGGAAGAGAGCTAATACCAGAGATGAGCTTTTTTTTTTTTTTTTAAGATTTTATTTATTTATTATCGCAAGTTAGGCAGAGAGGCAGGCAGAGAGAGAGGAGGAAGCAGGCTCCCTGCTGAGCAGAGAGCCCGATGCGGGGCTCGATTCCAGGACTCTGAGATCGTGACCCGAGCCGAAGGCAGAGGCTTTAACCCACTGAGCCACCCAGGCGCCCCCAGAGATGAGCTTTTAAAAATATTTATTTATTTGAGAGAGAGAGCATGAGTGGGGTTAGGGGCAGAGGGAGAGGAAGAGGGAGAAACAGACTCCCGGCTGAGCAAAGAGCCCGATGTGGGTTTTGATCCCCGGACCTAAGATCATGACCCAAGCCGAAGGCAGATGCCTAAAGGACTGAGTCACCCAGTGCCCCCCCCCGCCCCGCCCCCCCCTCTCCGCACCCTGGGATGAATGTTGCTTAAAGAGCTGCCTGCCTGGGGTGCCCGTGTGCCTCAGTGGGTTAAGCCTCTGCCTTCAGCTCAGGTCATGATCCCAGGGTTCTGGGATCGAGCCCCGAATTGGGCTGTCTGCTCAGCGGGGAGCCTGCTTCCCCCTCTCTCTGTCTGCCTCTCTGCCTACTTGTGATTTCTGTCTGTCAAGTAAATACATAAAATCTTCAAAAAAAAAAAAAACAAAACAACTGACCAGGGAACTTAAATCTTCTTGATGTCATCACTGATAGCACGATGATTACTTCTCTTTTCAGTATCTCATCTCTGACATTTAAGACAAATGAGATGGTCTGGTTTTATTCCCTTATCTCTGTTTTTGTTTCTTTATTTGTTTTGCTCTTTTTTACAGTTCGGAGTTTCTCCACATCTGGGATTTCTTTGAGCCTGGTCATGTAGCCCCACCTGTCCCTTACTCAATATCTTTGAGGTTCCCATGTTAAGAATTTTTTTTCTCTTGTGAACCTGTCTTGTGTTTGCTTAACTATTAGGACAAAGAATTGTGGGGCACCTGGGTGGCTCAGTGGGTTAAGCCTCTGCCTTCAGCTCAGGTCATGATCCCAGGGTTCTGGGATAGAGCCCCGAATTGGGCTGTCTGCTCAGTGGGGAGCCTGCTTCTCCCTTTCTCTCTGCTGCTCCCCCTGATTGTGTTCTCTTTTTCACTTATTTTCTTTCTCAAATGAATAAATCAATAAAATCTTTTTTTAAAAAAGCACAAAGAATTGAGAACAGATGGAAAAAAAAAAATGTTTTCCTCTCCTGTACCTTTATTCTGTTGGCAAAAAAATGACCTCCATGCTTCAAAACCAAAACAGAAGACAAAGGCAGAGTTTGGGATAAAGAGAAACAGTACCTTTGTTGCTTTGTGAGGCAAAGGAGGGCGCAGAGGGCCGGGCTTTCCAAACCAAAAGCCCACCTGGAGGAAAGGTCAGGGGGTTTTGTAGGGAAATGCAGTGATGTGGGAAACAAAGACAGAAGAAAAATTATAAATTTCTTTTGTATTTACAGCCCACTGGCAAGTCTGAGGCAGGCAGAGTTACATTCCCCTAGGAATTCGACTGCCTGGATGTTAACACTTTGCTAAGGGTAGAAGGCAGTCTTCGCCCGACCCCCAAGATCTTGTAAGTCTGCTCTAACAGATAAAAATTCCTTTGGAAAGTTCTTTATCTCTAACCCCCACGCCCCACCAAGATACATTTTGGCAATCATCCCCGAAGTATATGACCTACTGATTTATATCTGAAGGGCCTCATTGAGAAAGGACATGTGGGGCTGGGTAGGGAGTGATAGGTAGGGGCTCCATGATCAGGCTCACAGAAATCGCAGAAATGCTCACGCACAAGGAAACCAGGGATAAGGAAACAAACCAGACCACCCTGCCCTGGGCATTTGGGTTGGGGTCTTTTTATGGCAGTCACATTGTGACAAATGAAAAATAACCAGACCCCAAAGAAGAAGTAAGCCATTAAAGAGGTTATCCCCAGTCCTTAGTCAAACTGAGGCTTCTCAAGAATGTTAAGGCTACTAGCTCCCAGGTCAGTTCTGAATATAAGACCGTCGATGGAGGCCCACATTGGCAACCCCATCAGGACCCCTCTCACTCTGGAGAGTTTTCATTTTCCTTGCTTAATAAAACTCTACCACTTTATTCACTCCCCTTTGTCCTCAAGATTTACTCTTTGACTCCCTGAGACAAAAAGCTCACACTCCTCCTTCAACAGGATCTACCCGGTTTTGACAAGAATTGTGTCTGTGCCGCCAGCCTTGTTGATCAGGTTTTCAGTGTGCTACCAGATTCCTAAAAAAAAAAAAAGGAAAGAAAAAAAGTCTAAGAAGGGAGGAGGGGAGGTTTCCAAACAAGAAAAAAAGTTACTTAGTTTAATAGCATGACTCCCAGGGGCACCTGGGTGGCTCAGTGGGTTAAGCCTCTGGGTCCTGGGATCGAGCCCCGCATCAGGCTCTCTGCTCAGCGGGGAGCCTGCTTCCTCCTCTCTCTGCCTGCCTCTCTGCCTGCCTCTCTGCCTACTTGTTGATCTCTGTCAAATAAGTAAATAAAAAATCTTTAAAAAAAAAGATTTATTTTAAAAAAAATGCCCCCCCACCGCCGTGTTTTAAGGCAGCCATTTTGATTTTGTTCTGCTTGATGCTTTTAAATGGTTTCAGTTTCAGTTACCAGGGAAACCGGAGTGAGATAACTTCACATTTACAGTGAGAAACCACGGAACATTTTCTAGGATAGCTAAACTTAAGTGAAAATATTGAGGAATTAGAATTCCCATTTACTACTGTGGGAAACAAAGGCATTGATTTCCTTACTGCCAGCAGCCCACTGACAAGTCCTTGAAACAGGTAGAGTGACCTTCCTCTGGGAGCTCAACTGCCTTGCATGTTGACTCTTTGCTAAGGACAAAAGACAATCTTAGAATAACATTATCCCGGCCTCCCAAGATCCTGTGAGTCTACGTTAACATATGAAAAGTCCTGTGGAAACTTCCTTTATTTCTACCTCCCAAGATACACGTTAGCAATTATCCCCCAAACATATGGCCAACTGGTATACCTCTGAAGTATCTAATGACTGAGGGTTTACTGAACAGAAACAAATGAACATTTCCTAAAAATAGCTAGCCCTGTCAACATCCTGGAACAACGTTTGGGTGTTCCCAAAATACTTCGTAGGTGTGTGCTGTCCTTACTCCCCTTCCAGCTTAAAAGTATATAATCAGTCACCTGTTGCAACCGTAGTGCTACTCTGTCTGCCCGTGAGTCCTGCCCCATACTTTAATAAAACCACCTTTTGCATCAAAGATATCTCAAGAATTCTTCCTTGGCCATGGACTCCGAACCACAACATTCTACACCAATGGGAATTTAAAAAGTACATTCAGTTTGGAAAATGATTTGGCGGTGACTTATGAAAATAAATTTTGCTAACCAAGGGGAGCATTTTATCACCACAAAATAGGTCTCTTTGGCCTAAGGCTTATTTTAAAGAAACAAAGGAAAAGCTCTGAAACCCTGCAGAAGTTGCCTTTGGTAAAACAGATTTGCATTTGTTAAGGACAAGCTCCATTTGTGAGGGTGTCTCCCTCTGTTCTGTAGAAAGAGGGACAAAGTGTCAGTCTCCAGAAACTCTCACCAGTGGACGAGGCACGGATTAAATAGCAGTAACAATCATGGACTTGGTCACTGTGCTTTGTCTGGTCACCTCCCCCAACGCTTACCAGTAGGGACACTGTGTGGAGTTTCAAAAATGGTCATACTCCGAGCATCCCACCCAGATTCTGTCCGTTGGTGAGGGTGGAAAAAACGGTGTTGTTTTAGTGAAACACTCCAGGCGATTCTAGATGAGTCCACCGATAAGCAGGAGGGCTTCCCCTGAATAGAAGACAGCGGAGCTCAGGCTTTGGCTCAAGCAGAGGTAACATGGCCTCCGCCCAGTGATTCTAGAAGCATCAGGTCCGTGCAGCACACTTCTTTCTTTCTGCTCTCCCAGAATTTGTGAGTGTGTCTGTGGCTGGGAGGCCCCCTGAAAGCAGAGAAGGAAAAACTCAAAGATTAGTTTCCAAGGAGATATTCATTATTTCTGAATAGCTCTTGATACAAAAGGCTAGGAAGTTGGACCTTTTCTGCATTTCAAAGTCCTTCCTGGAGGCGAGTGGTTTAGAGGTGCAGAGGCTCTGTCGGTGGCTTTAAAAAGGCATTTTCTCCTGACGCTGCTGTGATTTCTCCTAGAATCTGTTCTGAGGAAGAACGCCAAAGGACCAAGTGAAAAAAGAAATGGCCAGTTCTCAGGTAAGGCTTGCGTCTGAGTTTAGAGGCCCAGTCATGTTTTTCTCCTGAAATTCCTCACACTTAGAAATTGCAAATCTGACTTTTCTAGTTCTGATGTTTCTGCTTTATGTTTACACCTAATTTTTGAAACTATCCAGAAATGATACTCAAAATTAGGTCTTTAAAAATACTTCTCACCTATAAGCCAGAGCCTTCTAACCCTTCTCTCCAACGTGGCTTCCAGTAGAGGCCATCAACAGTTGTCACTTTGAGGGGTCCCTGGGCGGCTCAGTCATTAAGCATCTGCCTTCAGCTCAGGTCATAATCCCAGGGTCCTGGGATTAGGCCCTACATCAAGCTCTCCACTGAGCAGGAAGCCTGCTTCTCCCTCTCCCATGTCCCCGCTAATGTTCCCTCTCTTGCTGTGTCTCTCTCTGTCAAATAACTAAAAAAAAAACAAAAGAAAACAAAAACTGTTGTCTGCCAGTATTGAAAATAATCCCTTGGTGACAGATCCACGGGGAAGGGGTTTAAGGATTCCTGTTGCTGAAGGGGTCTGGTCCTGAGATAGCGGTGGAGGAAAATGGTCTTATTTTGGTCCCATCTGGAAGCCTTACAGCTCTGTATAGACTAGGAGTAAGAAAATGCACAGATAAGCAGTAGATATGAGACCCAGAAAAATGTGTAACATTCTCTGAAAAAAAAAAAAAAGGGGGGGGGGGCGAGGTCCATACCCTTTAGCATGTAGAAAACATACTGTATCTAAAATATACTATATATTCCAGGACAGGGAAAGTATATGTGATTGAAGTGTGCATAAATCCAGTGTATTCCCATAATTTCATTGATATTCTGACTTGCTTCTTAGGGAATACAAGAATGCGGTGCCTACGTGGGGTGTCTCTTGATCAGATGGGGGGCTTTTAAATGTCCGGTGATGATCATGTGCGGGCCGGGCTAGGGGAAGCAAGAGAACACACCTGAGGCAGAACAAAGGAGCTAGAAGTTCATTGGATACACAGCAAAGGAGCAGGGAACAGGAGCTAGGAGAGAGGCTGTCTGCAAGGAGGTGGTGGGAGGGACCTGTTTTTATAGTGGGAAGATGAGGAGTTATGGAGACAGATGGAATATAACCTGTTTTGGGAATGGGACCTGGTTCTAAGTAGCCCATCGGTTACTTAGGGCCTATGGCTGTTTGGGGGTGGGTCGCCTGATGGGCCCGTCCCAGTTCAGGCGGGTAGTCACCGGGCTTTTTCCCAGTCCAGTGCTCAAGCCTGTTTGCCTAAAAGTGGCCTCAACAAAGAACACACCTTTGCAGGGTTCTTGTCTGTCTGGAGCAGAAGAAAGACTCGGACACAAAATGGTAAAGGGATAGTGTATCAAGTGAAGGGGAGAACAGAAAGAGAGCTTTCTAGAGTGAGAGGGGTCCGGAACGGGTTGCCACAGAGCACTTTTATGGTTGGTCTTTTATAAAAAAGTGACGAGGGCACTTAAATCTTCTTGATGTCACCCCCCATAGCAGCATGATTACTTCTCCTTTGAATATCTCATCTCTGATGTTTAAAACAAACAAGGTGGTCTGGTTCTGTTCCCTTATCTCTGGTTTCCTTGTGCCTCCTCATTCCTGGGATTTTTGGTGAGCCTGGTCACTTAGCCCATGACCTATCCATCCCCACCCATCCCCGCCAGTCCCTTACTCAAAGGTCACAGGTCCTTCAGTGTGCCTTAGGCACTCATACCAACTTGTTTCATCACAGCTGATGTTAACTTCTTTAAATGGTTTGATGCTTTCTGCCAGACAGCCCCCCAGTAATGCTCCTATGTTCCTTTTTACATTCATGAGGGTCTTTGATGGATTTCCTGAGTGATGTGCAGAAACCATCACGTTTCAGCTAGAAATTCCTTAGTTTCTCTTCGCTGGTAGTGTCTGATCAGGAGCACAAAGCAAAAGAAATGTAGAGGAAAATGAAATGTCCTTACAACGTGCCACCCACCGATAAATACTAGAGACAAGCAAAGTGTGACTTTCTTCAAGGAATTCACAGGTGCCTTAGTGTAATGCTTTGCTAGAGGCAAAAGCTACCTCAGGTGGACAATAGCCAGACCTCCAGGATCCTGTAAGTTTTATTCAATATATGAAAATCCCTTCGAAATTTCTTTTATCTCTATCCCCTTAACGGAAAAGCATATAAACAATGCCTTCTCAAAATCCCACTGCAGCTCTTTATGCCAATGGGTCCTGTCCCTGAGGCTTAATAAAAATAGGGTTTTGGTTTTTTTTTTAACCAATAATGCCTTAAGAATCCTTTCTTGACCATTTGCTCACAAGCCACCTCACATGAGTTTGCACTGGGCAGATGAAGGCTCCCACCTTGCTGTAGTTGGTAGCACGGACTTCTGGAAGTAGAGCATCTGACTCAGTCAGACCTCCCTCTTGTGAGTTTTTACTTGATTCCACACTCATGTCATAGACATACTCTTCAAAAAAAAAAATATATTGTTTATGTTTATTTTAGAATGAGAGAAATGGTGTGTGTGAGAGAAAGAGGGAGGGTTGATCCAGGGTAGAAGCAGAGGGGGAGGGAGAGACTTTCCAGCTGACTCTGTGCGGAGTAGATCCCAGAACCCTGAGATCATGACCATGATCTGAGCCGAAGTCAAGAGGAAGATGCTTAACCCATTGTGCCACCCAGGCACCCTATTTCCTCCTTTGTATTTTCAGAAGAAGAAAAAAAGAATCACATAATTAACATGTTTGAGGATCTTAAAATCCTGAAATAAGGTGACAGATGATGATTGAAACCAAAGCGTCTGATGAAATACTGTGTAGTGGGATCTTCAAGCACAGGGGTCAAGAGAAAATTCTGGAGATGCTGTATGGTACCTGAGGTAGTAGTAGGTTTATTGAAGTAGCCTGGGCACAGGACCTGTGGGCAGAAGGAGCTGCAGGTCGGCTGCATGAAGCTGGTGGTTATATGCTCAGTGTTCAAGTGGGGAGGGTAGGTGCGCAGAGTATTAGATCACAAATGTTTGTTCGAATTTGTACGTCTAAAACTACTTTTGCAAGATTTCTCCGATGTTATTGTTCAATTTGATATTAATATTGGTGAGATGTACAGGGAGTCAAGAGACCCTTTAACAATGTAGCAAGCAGGGTTACGTGGGTGGCTCAGTGGGTTAAGCCTCTGCCTTGGGCTCAGGTCATGCATGATCCTGGAGTCCCGGGATGGAGTCCTGCATCAGCCTCCCTGGTTGGCAGGGAGTCTCCTTCTCCCTCTGACCCTCCCTCTTCTCATGCTCGCTCTCTCTCATTCTTTCTCTCAAATAAATAATAAAATCTTAAAAAAAAAAAAAAGAATGTAGCAATTAGTATATTTTTTATTCTTAGCAGAACTAGGAAGCCTGTGGGTCAGCCTTCTGAGTTAAAGGTAAACATTTTTCTGCTTGTATCCCTCATCATACTACCCGTGTAAATAATAGCTGTTTTTTTTTTTTTTTTAAGATTTTATTTATTTGACAGAGAGAGAGATCACAAGCAGGCAGAGAGGCAGGCAGAGAGAGGGAAGCAGGCTCTCTGCTCAGAGCCCAGTGCGGGCCTCAATCCCAGGACCCTGAGATCATGACCTGAGCCGAAGGCAGAGACCCAACCCTGTGAGCCACCCAGGCACCCCAGTAATAGCTGTTTTATCTGTATCATTCTATGTGTTTGTGTTGATAGTGGGAATAAAACACAGGCAGCATCATCCATAATGTGATTTGTAAGTCTCATGTGAATGAAAATGGTTCTTGAGTTAATCACCGTGACAGTTTTCTACTCTACCACTTTTTTTTTTTTTTTAAGATTTTATTTCTTTATTTGACACACAGAGACCACAAGCAGGCAGAGAGGGAGGCTGAGGGAGAGGGGGAAGCAGGCTCCCCGCTGAGCAGAGAGCCCGATGTGGGGCTGGATCCCAGGAACCTGAGATCAGGACTAGAGCTGAAGGCAGAGGCTTAACCCACTGAGCTGCCCAGGCGCCCCTAGTCATTAACCTTTTATTGCATGGTTTCTGTTTTCACCACAGGAGCCTCTCTCCATGGGGTGTTTTGGCTAAAGTAAAGGGTAAGGTGAAATGAAGAGGTTAACTCAAATGTGGGATAAAGTTTGGTGGGTACGGTCAGATAAGCAGTGACGGTCAGGTGTTGGGGTCTAGCTGGTGACATTAACTTTCAACTCAGGGACCATTGTGAACTCTATCAATGGCCTCTTGGTGACTGTGGTATTTATTGCAGGGACAGCTCACCTTCAGGGATGTGGCCATAGAATTCTCCGAGGAGGAGTGGGGACGCCTGACCCACACTCAGCGGCAACTGTACAGGGATGTGATGTTGGAGAACTACAGACACCTCCTCTTCTTGGGTGAGAATGACTCCTTCCAGATTTCCCAGACCACACTCAGGGTTTCATTCTCCTTTGAAGACTGTCTCTTGGATGATTCCTCTTTGTATAACTGGAGATCAGATCACTGCACTTAGGAACACAAGTAAGGATTGGTAGGTGTAGACAAAAATCCTCCTGACGATTGCTTTTCAGCTTTAGCCTCCCCTTCCTTCAGGTAACAACATTTCTATAGATCAGCGGCTGTTGAAAGCCTGGCGTGGCATAAAATGGTACTGCCTGCATTTAAACTCCAATTTTCACTCCTTATATCAGCAGTACTTAGAAGTGCAAGTTAGGATGTGACTCTTTGAAAGTCCTTCATGTTCTACAGGGGCTGCTGGTCAACAGTGTTTGGGAAATCATCTTTTAGAATTCTGCAATGTTCTCTCTTCCCTGCTAAGTGCAGTGTGGATTGAAAGACTCTCCAGCAATATGTGTATTCGGTTTCTCTGTTAAACAGGTCTCACTGTGTCAAAGCCTGATTTGGTCTCCTTTTTGGAGCAAAAGAAGGACCCTTGGGATGTGACGAGAAAGAAGACAGTGGTCTTTGATCCAGGTAGGTGGGAATGGATGAAGCGGATGACAGAGGTGAAGTCCAAGTCTGAAGGAGGAAGGTAAACCTTCAAATGTGGTTCCAGTAGCTCTGCTTGAATGAAAATCAGTTGGAGAAGCCCCGTCTTATGTCTCTGTCTCTCCCAGAGGGACATCTGTGAGCCAACATCATCATGCTTTTATTTTCTCTAAGGATTCTGCTTCAGCTCCAGTGATGGTCCATCATGTCCCCAGGGAGGACCAGGAGACTCTCCTTCGACTGGGAGGGTCTCCATAATCTGAGAGCTCTTCCATTGCTTTGAGGGTGTTGGGAAAATCTCCCTATTTCTGAGGGTCTCTGTGCTAAGTCTCTTCTAAGTTCTGTTTTGCTTCGTGTGAGAAACTGTGCCCACGTTGTGGTGGGTATACTGGGGATTGGTGCGGAAATCCCCGGAACACTGGAGATAGACCCACGTAGTTTCTGGTTTATGCTTTCCAATGTTATGGAGGCTTTAAACATATAAAACTGAGACTCAGTAAGTTCATCAGTTAACAAAGCACTTCCCTAAAATGATTGAATATAATCCTTTATTTCACTTCAAATATTCATTCTTCGGGGCACCTTGGTGGCTCAGAGGGTTAAGCCTCTGCTTTCAGCTCAGGTCATGGTCTCTGGGTCCTGGGATTGAGCCCCACATTGGGCTCTCCTGAAGGAGCCCACCTCCTCCCCACTCCCACCCCCCACCTGTCTCTCTGCCTACTTGTCATCTCTGTTAAATAAAATCTTTTTTTTTTTTTTTTTTTTTAAAGATTTTATTTATTCATTAGTTAGAGAGAGAGAGAGCATGAGCACAGGCAGACAGAGTGGTAGGCAGAGGCAGAGGGAGAAGCAGGCTCCCCGCTGAGCAAGGAGCCCGATGTGGGACTCGATCCCAGGACGCTGGGATCATGACCTGAGCCGAAGGCAGCCGCTTAACCAACTGAGCCACCCAGGCGTCCCTTAAATAAAATCTTTAAAAAAAAAAAAGAACATTCACAACTAAGTGAGTTGTTGTAATATTGGCATTAATTTCAATATCTATTTATGTTGAATTTATATTCTCTTTGCATGAGAAGCACTTTTGGTGAATCAAAAGCAATTTTTACATTTTTTATACCTCTGTACCTTGTCGAGGTGTTATATTTTGTCCTAACTGTGGTGTTATTCCCGTGATATGCTTTGACACCATTCTCATTAACTTTTCTGACTTCTGTATGTATTTTCATTCTGGTTACATTAGAGATTCCTTAAAACATCTTAAAGTTACATAGCAAACCATTTTAAACCAAAGTCAGTTTTATAGGAAAATTTTCTACTTCACCCTCTCCACCCCGGAACCTACTTTATGTTACCACTATCAGAAATTCTGTCTTTTATGTTGTGTAATTAATTAGGTCAATTTATGATTTTTATGCTTTTGCTTAAGAACTTCTATAGCAGAAATACGGGTAACCCGTGCTACCTCATTACAGCAGTACAGTTTTCCAGAACCGTGTAAATATTTATATTAGCAGGAGTTTTGTGTTGTCACGTGCTTTCAGTTGCTCTTTTGAAATCCTTTTATTTCGAGCAGAAAGACTTCCTTTCACATTTCTTGGGACAGGTCTGCTGGTCAATCAGAGGGTCTTTTGCTTGGCGTGGCTCTCATTTGCACAGTTCTGCCAGGTGGGTTGTTCTTGGTGTGGATTGTTTACTCTGCGTGTAGTTGAATACATGATCGCACTCCCCTTTTCCTGTAAGGTCTGCTGAAAATTCCAGTTATACTCTCATAGCAGCTCTTTTTCATAGAAGGTGAGTTACTTTTGTCACGCTGTTTCAAAATTCCCTTTTCACCTCAGATTTTTTTTAAGGGTTTTGTTTATTTATTTCACAGAGAGAGAGCACCCACAAGCAGGGAAAGTGGCAGGCAAGGGAGAGGAGAAACAGGCTCCCTACTGAGCAGGGAGCCCTCTGTGGGGCTTGATAACAGGACCCCAGGATCATGACCTGAGCCGAAGGCAGACACTTAACCAACTAAGTCACCCAGGTGCCCCTCACCTCTGAGTTTTGATAGGTTTATTTATTTATTTATTTTAATTTTTTATTTGACAGAGAGCTCACAAGTAGACTGAGAGACAGGCAGAGAGGTGGGGGAAGCAGGCTTCCCGCTGAGCAGAGATGTGAGGCTGGATCCCAGGACCCTGAGATCATGACCTGAGCTGAAGGCAGAGGCTTAACCCACTGAGCCACCCAGGCGCCCCTTTTGTTAGGTTTATTATAATGTGTCAGTGTGTTCATGTCTTGACATTTATCCTACTATGAATTAGTGAGGTGGTTGAATTTGTCTCTTTTTCCCACTTATGTGTGCAGTAGAAGCCTTTAGTTCTTCATGTCAACTCTTTCCCCCCTTTTTACTCTCCTCTCCTTATGGGGTCCCCTTAATGTACATATCAGTCCACTTACTGGTGTCCCATGAGTCCCCAGACTGTCCTTTTTGACATTTTTCTTTGATCTTCAAGACAAGGGTCTTTAGATTGTCTGATTCTTTCTTCTGCTTGAGCAAGTCTGCGGGTGACCCACTGGTGTGTTTTTAACTTCCGTCATCGTGTTCTTTAACTCCCTGTTCCTGCTTGGCCGATTGTTATACTTCGTCTCTTTGGGTTTACATTTTGGTCATGACCCGTTTTCTGGTCTCACTGAGTTTCATATCTGTTTTCTGTTCCTTTCTCCATGTGCATCTTTATGATGATTAGTTCTTTGTCATGCAAATAAGTTCTTCATTAACGGAGGGTTCGTTTGTGGGACTTCTTTTGTTCGATGTGGCGAAGCCTTTGACTACCATTCTAAAAGTTACCAACATAAGGCAACACATACTGGTGAGAAGATCGATAAAGGTAAAAAAAGAAAAAAATGTGGCAAAGCCTTTAGGCAGAACCACAACTTTCTAAGCATCGGAGAGTGCATGATGACAGAAACCCTACAAATGTAAAAAATGTGGCAAAGCTTTTATTTCATAATCTAGACTCTTCAACATGAGATCATACATCCTGTGGAGATACTGTAAAATGTCCAGAATGTAGACAGCGTCTTCACAATGAACTTCATCTTCCTCAACCTCAGAGAAAGCATACGGGATAGAAATGCCAGAAATATAATGATGGATGAAAAACCTATGTTTTAGTATATACTTAAGAAAAAAGTCTTAGTGAAGGAAAAAAAAAAACATAAAAGTTGTGAGCAGTTAGCGAACTATGTAATGGAATGACATTTATATGAAATCAGAAAAGTCACAGCAGAAAGCAGTAAGTTAGTCTCATTTTCCAGACATGATTCTAAAGTAGGGTATTTATTATAGAAAAGAATGCAAAATTCAAACAGTTAAATCAATAACATTTTGGCTTTGGACAATGCAGACATTAAGGGTGTCAACTCTAACACAATTGACAATCTGCTTTTCACTCTTGGGTCTCCAAACATCCAATCACACCTAGCTTTCCATAGAAAGAGCCCATTGTTGACCAGAACCCTGACCTAAAACAAATAGTCCGTATTCCCTGTGTTTTATACGGTATTGTTATAGTAAGGTAGGCTTAAGAAGAGTCAATATTAAGAAAATCATAACAGAAAACATTTTTAGACCACTACCCAGTAGGTATCAACAAAATCGAGGTGTAAGTGGATCCAGGCCCTTCAAACCCATGTTACTCTGTGAGCTGCATCTGTTAATATGCCTCAGAGGATCAAGGGATGATCATTGTCTGGGGAGGGATAATAGTGTGTCTCTTCCTTTTCTTTAGACCACATTTGAGATTTTTCACATGGCAAATGTTATTTTACTCTTAAATCATCTCATGCTGTGCCTTTATTGCTTGTATACATGCAAAGTGATTTTATCATTGCTGCCTCAGAGACACGAGCGGCTCTTGTATAATGGGGAGTTCATTCGTGCCACTTTGCACAGAAGGTTAAGGAGGCTGTGGTGTATAGTGTATGAGGAAAGCCCACATGGAGATGCCGTTTGTGGTTGATGTGTAAGAGTGATATAAATCATGGTGGAGTAAGTGTTTAGGGAGTCATTATTTACATTAAAGTAAAACAGAGAGGTGTCCCTGGGTGGCTTAGCTAATGATCCATCTCTTTATTTCAACTCAGGTCATGATCTTGGGGTCTTGGAAGAGCCCCACGTTGGGCTCAAGCTCAGCAGAGTCTGCTAGGGATTCTCTCTCCCTCTCCCTCTGACCCTTCCCCTGTGGTGCTCTCACATGCTCTTTCTCTAAATAAATGGATAAATTCTTTTTTTAAAAGATTTGATTCATTTGTCAGAGGGAGAGAGAGAGAGAGAACAAGCAGGGGGAGCAACAGGCAGGAGAAGCAGTCTCCCAGCGGAGCAAGGATACTGATTTGGGACTCGATCCAGGGTACTGGGATCATGACCTGAGCTGAATGTAGACACTTAACCAACTGAGTCACCCAGACATCCCATGGTTAGTGATGTTTTTTTTTTTTTAACCATTTGTAAAAATGTTCTCTTATGCCAAGACCACAGTGACACAATCTGCTGTGTTTTTCTAATAACATCATTAATTATCTTACAGTTTTGCTCAGAAATGTATTAAACAACATCTTCTGTGGTTTGAGTAGTGACTGAAGTTTTCTATTGTTTAAGACTTTGTAAGTAATCTCTGTAATCAACATGGAGCTTAACCTTAAAACGTTGAGATCAAGAGTCACTGCACGACCATGTGAACCATCTGGCTGCTGTTTGAATGATCATTCCTGTATTCCCATAGCAGAATGCCTTCTCAGGGCTTGGTGATAGCAGTAATCTACTTGTCATGGACAGTAGCTGGAATCTTGGCAGACTGAGAGCTGTTTTTACCATTATCTCACTGGGCATGGGTTAACTTCTACAGAATTTACTGCCAAACATGAGTTTAGTCAACTCATTGGTCATTGTCTTTAAAAGAGTGATGGCTTTTGGGTGAAGAGATTTCTGTCATGATTTT